TTGTATGCACGGAATTTAATCTCCATAGCATGTGTAGAACTAGATCTCCACTAATCGACAGGTGACGTCTTCTTATGGGAACACGGTCAAATCTCCATTTATGAGTTCGACCTCGTTCGAACTACGACGGGATATTACTTCGATGACAGTTTGAAGTAACATCCCAATGGCCAAGGCTATCGACAAAATATGAGTTCGACCTCGTTCGAACTACGACTGGATAATACTTCGACGACAGTTCAAAGCAACATCCCAATGGCCAAGGCCATCGACAAAACATGAGTTCGAACTACGATGGGATATTATTCGACTACAATTCGAAGCAACATCCCAATTGCCAAGGCCATCGACAAAACATGAGTTCAACCTCGTTCAAACTACGGCGGGACATTACTTCGATGACAGTTCGAAGCAACTTCCCAATGGCCAAGGCCATCGACAAAACATGAGTTCGACCTCGTTCGAACTACGACGGGATACTACTTCGATGATAGTTCGAAGCAACATCCCAATGGCCAACCCCATCAACAAAACATGAGTTTGACCTCGTTCGAACTACGACGGGATATTACTTCGATGACAGTTTGAAGTAACATCCCAATGGCCAAGGCTATCGGCAAAATATGAGTTCGACCTCATTCGAACTACGACAGGATATTACTTCGACGACAGTTCGAAGTAACATATCAATGGCCAAGGCTATCGACAAAACATGAGTTTGACCTAGTTCGAACTACGAGGGGATACTACTTCCACGACAGTTCGAAGCAACATCCCAATGGCCAAGGCCATCGACAAAACATGAGCTCGACCTCATTTGAACTACGACGGGATACTACTTCGAAGATAATTTGAAGTATCCCAATGGCCAAGGTCGTCGACGAAAATATCGGTTCGACCTCGTTCAAACCACGACGAGATTCTAATTCGACGACAATCGAAGCAACATCCCAATAGCCAAGGGCGTCAATATCATATGCAATAAATAAAGGAGAAAATGACAAATAAATAAACCGACAAAAGTAAATTTACATTGCAGCAAAATATCATTTACATTTGCCCCTACAAACAGGCCCTAGTACGGCCCGTGCCAAAAATTCCTAAGCAAAAGAAAAATACAAACAAAGACTACGCATCATCCCCAGCAGGGTAAGCGTCTTCATACCACGAATTCGAAGCAAGGTGATTCGTGTCATCAGAATTGATACCTTCCCCGTCAGGAGTGAGGGGGTCGTACCTACATGACTCACGAGCTGCACGTGCTTCAGCGTGCACCGCCTGAACCTCCACCTCTGTAGCCCTGCCCTCGGCGTGAAAAGCCTTATAAACATCAAGTCGAGCCTCTGCATGGACCCACAATTCATACAAGAAATGGGGTGAGCCTTGGTTAGCTGAGGCACGAGACGTAGAAGGCTGAGAACGTAGATTTGCCTCCTCCGCCCATAGCGAAGCCATTTGTCCCTACAATGCAGCCAACTCCGCCTCTAGCTCCATAACACGCCCTTCGAGCCCTGCAACTTGACAACCAGAGGCTTCCCTCTCCCCAGTAAGTTCCGACCTGGAAATATGGAGAGCATCCTCCAAGGATACCGACTCAGAAATAGTGGCTTCCAGTTTATCAGCGCTGGCGCTCAGCTCACTCTTGAGCACGTCAATCTCCGATACCTTAGCATTCAACCCGGCAGTCAAGTCGACCACTTTCAGCTGTAAATCGGCATTCTTAACCATTACCCCCTGGCTCAACTCGGTCTCATCCTCCTTCGCCTTAAGGAAAGCCTCCAGTTCGCTATTACGGGCGATAGCCCTCATAAGCTCCTCGTCTCTTTCCCTCAACTCATCTATCCTACGCTCCAATTGGTCATCTCGCTGCTTAAGCCCCTCGTGAAACACCTGAAACTCGGGATCCTGATGATAGATATCAGACATTGCCCGATGTTTAGCACGGTACTGCTGATACTTCGACGATATCCTCTTAAAAAGGCACGTCCTTTTCCTTTCACGATGCTCCCTCTCTATCTCCAGGACGAGGGTCTGACAAAAGAGAAGGGCAGAAGTTAGAAAACAAAATGCACAACGCCGACCATCGCACCAACCTCACGACAAAAAGATAAGGAAAGGGAACCTACCTACAAAGCCATACCAGCGACCTTCTAAGATAACTCTACGTCACTCATCGCTCCAAGCATCTCGCTTTCAGGAGCGGCACATAGAGGAGCAAGGGCCGACGCAACTTGCTCGCTGTTCAGCAGTAAGTTGTAGTTCCCCGGGACTACCACATGACGGTCGGACCCATCCATCCTAACCTCCACATAGGTATGGAGACCCAAAAATTCATTGACGTCCTCCGAGTCGATATCCGAACCCGAGCCGTCACCCTCGATACAAGGTTCTCCAATATTAGATGATGTGCCACCCTCAACGGAGCGCACTAAACCTACTTCCGGGCCAATTCCCTCCACTTGGGGAGACCTCCCCAATAAAATGGCGTCAGCCATAAATACGGGCACCGAGACCGTCTGGGATGCCCCGCTGCCGTCGGCATCTGTAGCCACGCCCTTTCCCCGCTCCAACCTTCTCCTTTTCCTCTCTAATGGCTCGTCGCCATTAGAAAATTCATCAACAGGATGTGAGTCTGGTACCAACGAGGCTTCTTCCCTCATGGCCACAGTTCGAGACGAATCTCCAAGTTTAATAAGCTGAGGACGGCCCTCCCGAACAGACTCGCACAAAATAAATCGCGTGCCCGCAGTAGCAGCGGCTTGTCTAAAAGCGGGAACAGGCGCTCTCCACCTAGAAGCTCCCCGACCTTTCGTCACAAGGGTCATACCGTTAAGCAGGATTGCATGGCCAACGAGGCAGTAAAAGCAAATATTTACCTGAGGAAACCTTAGGGCCATAACGTTGCACGAAGGCGGGCCAAGTCCAAGTTTTCACTGTATGAGGCAACAGACGGGCCACCCAATCCTTGATATCTACAATAGAGCGAGGCGGACGACCCATAGCTACAAAACAGCGAGTAAGTAAAAGTTACAATAATCACGGAAGAGAGGGGAACTTAACGAACGACGACACTTAAGATTTCTGTTCCATCATTCCAGAAATCTGGCGGAGTCAGAAATGACGTGTTCGGTTTTGATGAAGAAATACTTGTGCCAGAACTTATGACTCGCCCGGTCATCCGTTCCGACCACCAGCCCTTTCGTACCACGAAGTCTAAAATGCACCATGGTACCCCTGAGAAAGTTGGGTGCGAATAGGTGCAAAAGATAATGAACCGAAACGCTACACTCCGCCAACTCTACGTACTTAGTCAATAGTAGAAGCACCTTAAGCGTGTACGGCAAAAGCTGTGTTGGGAAAACCTGGTAAAATCTACAGAATTCTTCCGCCAAGGGGAAGAAAGGAAGGGTGTAGCCGATCACGAAAAGATACTCGTAGAAAACACAGTATTTAGGCATGTGGACGTCAACGTAATCCTCCCTCGCTGGAATTATCTCTACATGGGCAGGGATACCATATTTTATACGGAGGGCATCAATATGAACCTGCTTCATCTCAGAAAACACGTGGTTCGGGGTAGGAAGCGTATCTTTGATGAAATCATTCCGGGACAAGGGATGCCTCGGTAGTAGCTCCTCCACCATAAGAGGATTGTCACCTTCTTCTGCCACCACTTCTCTGCTGCCTGAAAGAGAAACTGTGGACAACGGGGTGGCTTCAGGAACCTCTTCGCTAGCACAATGGGACGTCGTCATAGTTTCATTTAAAGGAGTAGCGACATAAAGGGAGTGAGAAAGAGGAAACTTCCGGCGAAGAATGGAAACAAGAGCAAGAAGGTGTAAGAACAAATGAAGAAGACCGAGAGGCTATCAAGAGGGGAGTAGCTAAAGTTTTTCAAAAAGTCAAACCCTTCATCTATTTATAGGGTTGGGTGGCACCAGAATCGAGGCGGAAGGTCTCAAATCAGCGCAAGAATCAAAGCGCCAAACCGTCAGTCCTTACCTCAAAAATCCGCGTAATAATGACGCACGTAAAGCTAACATCAGCCCCAAGTAGCGTGTACTCTACAGCGCTTCACTGATGTGATAACCATCTCGCGTTAGCCACGTCGCAACGTCCCTACGGGTCAAATTTCTCCCAAAGAAGGCAGAGTCCTCTCATCGAGGATGCACCCGGTCGCAACCCAGCGGAGGGACTAACTGTATGGGTCTGAATTTGACCGACCATGACCTGCAGTGAGCACGACAGACGGCCGAGCACCTACGAGTCGATGCCCAGAAGGGTACGACCTTGTAGTAAGAGAAAGAATAATACGACCTCGGTGGTAGAGTAAGCATATTAGGGGACATTGAGAATATTCCTAAAAAGGGATCTTTTGCATGTCGTTTCTAGGGGGAATTCCTCAATATATAAGAGGAATGAGAGCCTTGTAAAAAAGCAGACTCTGTAAAATTCATGAACCTTGAATGAAAAAGGATATTTACAATTCTCTTCTCTCTATTACTATCATCCTAAAGTTTATTATCTTCAGCCACGATTTACCCCTTCATCTTTGATTGATTTGTTCAAAAGGGTTTTAATATCTTTTGAGTCAAACGAAGGGAGCCTTGGAGCAACGGTAAAGTTGTCTCTGTGTGACCTATAGGTTACAAGTTCGAGCCGTGATAGCCACTAATGCTTGCATTAGGATGGGATGTCAACATCACACCCTTTGGATTGCGACCCTTTCCCGGACCCTGCGTGAATGTGGGATGCTTTATGCACCGAAGTGCGCGTTATGGAACTCATCAAGTTCATTATTATTATTATTATTATTATTATTATTATTATTAGTGTTGTTGTTGTTGTTGTTATTGTTATTTTTTATTATTATTATTATCATAGTTTGCCTTGAATTTAGTAATGTTTGAGGATTGTAATTTCTGTTTTTAATTGGAGCGTGTCATGTAAATAGTTTACCAGTAATTTTTACATACTATACATTTTTTATCAAATGACAGAAACTATTCCAGCTAGAGAAACGCTTGGTGAGCATAAACAGTGGTGAAGAAGATGCTATTAGATCAGTCATCAATGAATTTTCCACAAATATTGACATAGATGAAAGAAGTATCTTGAAGAAGTAATGTATCTAAATTATGATTCTGAATCTTTACATAAATAGCTAGACAAATTTACTGTTTATTTTTTTAGCCGATATATATGGATTATACACTGATTATATGTGATTATAAACATATTATACATGGATTATACATGTATATACATGGCTACGTTTTGTTTAAACAGTTGAATAAGCGGCTATTTAAGTTAATTCTTCGTGACGATATTATGAGTGACATTTATTTTGCTAATACTCGTGTAGGTTGTCCATAATCAACGAATGTTTTTCCAAGGATTCTGTGGAGGAGATTGTGGAGTCACTTGTAAGAATTAATTCTTCTAATAAGAGCTAACTCCTAATTTGCTCTAATTTATTTATTTGGTAAGAATTTTTATTCAGTGGAGGAGATTTTGAGCCATTTGTTTTAAATTTACAGCTCAAACTTTATATAAGCTTTATATATGTTCGATTAAATAGTGTCACATAAATTGAAACGTGTAATGATATGTCTCTTAGTACGGGCTGGGCTACAAATACTTATTCATATTTATTTCTAACCATGGTGCATATCATAATTTCTTGTTAACTTTAATTTGCAGGAAGCTGAGGCAAGCAAAAAAGGAAATGATTGGATTATTACAACGCTTAAAAACCTAAAGAAAGCATCTCCAACAGGATTAAAAATAACATTGAGATCGGTAACTAGTCCTTTATATGCATATATACTATTCTTTTCGTCCCAATTTTATGTGAATGTGTTCGAATTTCGAGAGTCAAACGAATTCTTCTTTGACCGCGATTCTTTATATGTCTTTCACCACCAAGTACATATAAACCAAAACAAAGGCTCTTACTTTTTCTCAAATTTCTTTGCCAGATACGAGAAGGAAGGACACAGACACTGTTTGAATGCTTGAGGAGAGAATTCAGGATTACGATGAACATACTACGAACTGTAATATCTGGTGATTTGTATGAGGTAAAATTTTCTAAGTGTTTTTAGCAAACGTATTCATAAATATTTTACACGTAGAATTACACTTGATTTTTGATTTTTCGTTTAATTTTAAAACTAAATAGAGTTTATTAATTTTTTTATAAAGGGCATAAGGGCTGCCATTATTGACAAGGATAAGTCTCCAAAGGTATTTCCTTTTCCTCTTTCAATATGTTAATCTAAACACACAACATTTGCCATATACTCTCCACTCCAATGTTTGTAGCTTCATTGACCATACAAGTGTGTGTGTCTATATATATATATATATATNGTGCTTTGAAGAAACTACCTCCCGAAGGCTCGATGCTTAGCTCGGGGCTCCGGCCTCGAGGGTTCTCAGTAATCTACTTTAAGGCAGCGTAGGCAACGGTCGGCCTCGAGGCAGGGTAAATCAGTGGCATCGGTGGATCGGTGTGAGGTTCCCAAGGCACGTGACTAGAGCTGACAAAGTCTATTAGGCTAGTCCAAACCCGTACCATTGCATTAAATGGTTGTACCAGCCCCATATATTTGTAGTAAATGCATTTGTACTATAATGAGATTCTCCCTCATATAAAAAGGGGATCCTTGTCATTTTGTAGGGATCTGATGCTCAATATTAAATGTACAAGAATATTCTCTCTGCTCTCTAACATATTCTATTGATCTCATTACTTCCATTTATTGCCTATATTCGTTGTGTTTAATTTATTATTCTTCATTTATTGCTTATCATTGATCATAAAGAGTCACCGTCGTAGCTCTCATAATTGTTAATCCTCCCTCGATTGCTCCAAGCCGGTCACCCAACTCGACCTCGAGGCCTCATATACGGCAGCTCGAGGCCCCGATCTTCAGCCGCTTGGTTTGACTATTACATCGTTTTTAAGCTATAATCTTGTCTTCTAATCTTTTATTTAGCACCCATTGCCTAACAACTAGCATAAATAGTTTGGCGCCCACCGTAGGGCTAAAAATAATAGTGATTATTTTCTTGTTGGTTTAACTACATAACACAGGTTACCTTTCACACTTTTTCTTATCCAAGATCTTTGATTTCAAGTCAAAATGTCTAACTCAGTAAACAACAATCTTGAGGACCATGGAGAGAATGGTGTGGATGTCCCAGGTGTTGGTGTACCACCACGAAACCCTGAGAATGCACCAGAACTAATTTCCGTGGACGCGGTCTCATGCGATGCCCAACACATCGATATAAGCTCCCACACTAACAGGAGCATACATCAAGGATATCAACAAGAATTCCAAAAAAAAAACAGCTCGAGATGAACAAGAGGTCACCCTTCACGTTATTTTTGAGATGTTGCAGGCACAACAGCTGGCAATCGCTCAGCTGCAGAGCCACCAAAAAACCCCAAGTACAGCGACCCTAGGAATAGCCCCTCGGACCGAACAGGCACCAGAAAGATCAAGCAATAACGAGTTGCCAGCCGACCCCGCCATCGTAAAGATCCTCGAGGACCTTACAAAGAGGATCGAGTCGGGCGAGAAAAAGATAGAAGCCAATGATAAGAAGGTTGAGACCTATAATTCCAGGGTCGACCAAATTCCGGGAGCACCCCTGGACTTGAAGGGTGTGGATTCAAAGAAGTTCGTATAGAAGTCATTCCCGCAGGAAGCGGCTCCAAAACCCATTCCAAAGAAGTTTAAGATGCCAGACCTTCCAAAGTACAACGGAACCTCGGACCCCAACGAACACGTCACTGCTTACACTTGTGTAGTGAAGGGCAACGACCTAAAGGACGACGAGATCGAATCCGTCCTATTGAAAAAGTTCGGAGAAACGCTTTCAAAAGGGGCAATGATGTGGTATCACAACCTGGCCCCAAACTCGATAGATTCATTTGCCATGCTGGCAGATTCTTTCATAAAATCAAAGTAGCAACAAGGAAATACGACGTATTCAAGATCAAGTAGAGGGAGAATGAGATGCTGCGGGAGTTCGTATCTCGCTTTCAAATGGAACGAATGGAACTACCACTAGTTTCCGACGACTGGTCAATGCAGGCCTTCACTCAAGGTTTGAACGAACGAAGCTCGGTGGCTTCGAAACAGCTGACGCAGAATTTGGTTGAATACCCTGTTGTGACTTGGTTAGATGTTCACAACCGATATCAATCAAAAATCAGGGTCGAGGACGACCAATTAGGAGCCCCCTCAGGCTTGGTATACCCAAGCAGGCTTCTGGCGAAGGAGCCAAAGTTAAACAAAGAAAGGTACCAGCCATACACCAAAGACAAGAGAAATGCCCCGAGGCGTAACATACACTGGAATGATCGAAGAACGGACTGAGGGTAGAACTCTCGGGGACTCGTCAGCAGAGCGGGGTTCGATAGACACGCAGGGCCGATGGAGGCACCCCGCTTGTCGGAATGCAACTTTAACATCGATATTTCAGATATCGTGTTCGCCATCAGTAAAATCAGAGACATCAGGTGGCCAAGGCATGTACAATCAGATCCTTCACAAATGAACCATAATTTAGTGTGTGAATTTACAACACACACGGTCACATGACCGAAGATTTCCAGCAACTCCGGGAAGAGGTAGCCCGACTACTCAGCAAAGGTCACCTCCGGGAATTCCTCAGCGACCGAGCCAAAAATCAATTTCGGGAAAGAGAGGCGACCAAAAAGAACGAAGCAGATGAGTCCCAACATGTCATCCATACGATCTTTTGAGGTGTTGGTGCCCTGCAGGAACCCACAGTTAGGAGAACAAAAACATCCCTCACCAGGGAAAAACGAACTCGAGGCTCTATCTCAGCCCATAACGACGTACTGGTAACTTCTTTTCTTGTGAATACATTTCAAATTAAATATGTACTGGTGGATCCAGGTAGCTCGGCCAATATTATCAGGTTGAGGGTGATAGAGCAGCTTGAACTGCTTGACCAAATTATGCCCGCCTCTCGAGTCCTCAATGGGTTCAACACGGTGAGTGAAACAACGAAAGGGGAAACCACCCTACCAGTCAATATGGTCGGCACAACCCAAAACACCAATATCTCCACCATCAAAGGAACTGAAGGATAAACAAACAGTGAAATAGCAACCACGAGACACGTTCTCGGCTATACCCGAATGAACAAATAAAGGACTGTACCGTGTCCTCAGAGAAAATACTAAAGGCCTACCGAGGCTCAAAGCGCCATCGCCACTAAGGTGTAACCATCTCCCTTTTTATTTACAGCTCACACTAACCTTTATGCATGTGTCCGACTGAGATAGTCGAAGCGCTAATCCAGCTCGAAGACCTTAAAGTTTTAAAGCATACATTGTACTCTTTTCCTTTGACCGGGTTTTTATCCCGAAAAGGGTTTACCGGCATGGTTTTTAACAAGACAACATCTATATGCTACCTAAGGAAAACTCAACAAGTATTCAAGGCTTCTTTTCCAATCAACCTCGAATACTTGGGGGCATCCCCCTAGAAGGTCACCTACTCGGAGAAGACAAGATGCGCTAAATGGGGTCTCGATAGGAAAATAATGTATCGGGCCAAACGGTCGCATGAACCGTGCCCGTATAGAATAACTAAGCCCTTAACAACAAAGACATCTATACTTGTACCAAGTAATCAAAGAATACTTTCCAAAAGCATTTTGCATTTCAAAGAAGCTCGGTATTTTTACAAAAACAACTCCTCTGTCAAAACGTCCCGAACACTCAGGGACTGGCGTCAACAACTCGAAACAATGTGACCCTTGGGTCAGAGCTTCAAACTCGTAAGCCCTTAATGAGGCAACATTAAGATCACAAAACAGCTCCAGAGCCAAAAACGTCCCGAACACTCGGGGACTAGCGTCAAAAACTCAAGGCCATATGAACTCCAGGTCGGAAACCCCAAAATCGTAAGACCTCATGAAGCAATACCAAGTTTACAAGTAATGGCTCCCGAGCCAAGAAACCCTCGATGACTCGGGGACTGCTGCCAATTGCCACCCTCATCGACTTATCAAAACCCGAGGCCTCAAGACCACATGCGGGCAGCCTCGGTCTCGTAAGACCTATATAAGGCAATAACAATATATGTAAGACCTCAAGCAAGGCATGAACCATACTTGTACCAAGTGACAATATCTGTAAGACCTCAAAGGCATGTAAAACGTGTAAGACCTTACTAAAGGCATAATCCCGATCTTAAAGTTAAGGCTATATATCAAACTTGTAAGACCCCTAAAAAGGCATACCCTCGATATAGACGTCGAAACTACTTCACTCAGGGACTGAAAGGCTCCGGCCAAACACAAATGACTGTGGTTACAAGGTTGTACCAGCCAAACTAACGCGACTCGAGGATGCCCGACCATCGCTATAAAATCATAGGCCTTCAATTACTTCGAAAATACTTCGAAAAGAACCTGTTAAATAGGTTACCCTCGACATAGGCAAAAGAGCTTCAACCATGTCAACTCCAAACTTATACGCTTTGAAACACTCAGGCACCGAGCAAAACCTCTCGAGGAGCTCGATCATCACCACATAATGACTTACAATCGAGGTTTTTATCGAACCATCGAAGAGTCGGGCAAACACAATTTCAAAAAGTCCTTAACAAGGGAAAAATAAAGCCCATATAAGAGGTCGTACCAACCCAATGCGAGAGAGCCACTGTCGTCGGCCTATATAAGAGGTCGTACCGACCCAATGCGTAAGAGCCACTGTCGCCAGCCCATACAAGAGGCCGTACCGACCCAACGCGTAAGAGCCTAAGGGCTAGCATTAAATTTAAAAACTTGAGGGTCGAATGAGCTCGAGTTGACACCCGACTCGGAGACTGAACCCAAAACAGTTAATTAAATATGCCTAAGAACAAAAGTATAAGAGCTCAAACGTCGGCTTATACTAAAAGGTCGTACCGACCAAGCGCGTAAGAGCCTACGGGCCAGCCCAATGAGCCCCAGGGCCATACCATGAATCTGAGGGTTCCTTTTAACTCGAAGACCAGTTCATCTGGCTAAAATCAAAGCAAAGAGAAATGCATGAAAAATAAAAGTGCAAGGCTTCCTTTTATACATTTATGCGAAAAAATACAAGCTCCATTTACAAATGTCCTTTGAAAACATTATACGCAGAATAAGAAAGCCTAATCTACTCCCCCCTCGGGGACTATGGCCCGTCAGCCTCTTTCTCACTATCCTCG